CTTTGAAAACTCCAGCCCGAGATCGCCGCTCTAGCTTGGCTGTGATTATTTACAAAAAACTGGGCTTGCTTTTGCAATCCGTGACCTTTACCACCACCAACAACAAAAAAACACCCACCCACGAGATCGTCTCTCCTGGGATCCCATGGCTTCCTGGTTTCCGGCTCAGTGTTTCCTAGCAGCTTGGGCCTGAGTCATGACATTCCAAGGCCCACTGCCCTCTGGACAGAGTGGCCTGTGAGCTGTGGAGCCTCCCTTACAGTCTCTCCCTTCTCCCCACCTCGAATTCTGCAGGTCAATTTGGAGGGGTGCAAGGTTCCCACCCTCTGAACCCCACCCCTCTCTAGAAGGGCTGTCTGATGGGAAGGGAGTGTGGAATGCTCACCTGGGTGCCCAGAGCCCTGCCACCACCCCACCCCAGCACAGGGACTCCCTCCTGCTCCAGGGCTCCTGAAGTCTGTTCCACTTCTCAGGAATCCCCCTTTCCTGTCTGCCCCCCTCTCTGACCCAAGACAGCCCATTCCGATTTTGCTGAAAATGTTCCCTGCAACTTTGGAGTAAACACTTTGGCCAAAGTGCCTATTTTCAACGGCCCAGAAGGCCAAGACAGGAAAACCGCCCACATGCAGGTCCAGGTGGGGAGGAAGGTGTGTTCCCCACCCCTGTCCCTGTCTGTGCTGTGATCTGCGCAGAGTGTAGGCAGGGGTGGGGCTGCGGTGGGGACACAGTATAGGCCCCGGAGGGATTCCAAGTGGTTTCCCAAGTGATCAAGTTTTACAGATGGTAAACCGCAGCCTAGGGACACCCCAGGGACGCTCCCTTGTCACTGGAGCTCCAGTGAACTCATAGAAGCTGAGCCTCCCCCTAAACCCTGCAAGGCAGGAGGGGGCCCGCCCACAGCCTTTACTTCCTCTGTTGACAGAGGAAAATCCACGTGACATTGTTGCTGTGAGGTGGGAACTCAGAGACCTTGTGTTGATAAGACAGCCGGTCCTGTGCCTGAGCCCATTGTCTCGGCCAGTGTCTGTCCATCTCCTTGAGGGTCTTCCTCTTCGCCGCCGCTCCGCTTCACCAAGCACGATGTCCTCCTCCAGGGACTGGTCTCCCCTGACAAAGCACGTGAGACGAAGTCTCGCCACCCTTGCCTCTCAGGAGCGCCCTGGCTGTACTTCTTCCAAGACGGATGTATTTGCTCTTTTGCAGGCCCTGGTCCTTTCAATATAGTCCCCGGCACCACGGTCAAAAGCATCGGTTCT